TCACCACTTTTGCCACTGATTATAATTTGATTTTAATTTTTAGTGTGTAAATTTCCTAAATTAATAATTTGTGAAAAACCAATTGTACATATTAAACAACTTAATTTTTTTTTATAAATGAGTATTTATAATAAACTTGTTTTAAGTCTTCCAACTCATTATTAAAGAGACTTTCATAATGGTCTATTTCAGACATTGGTTCTCAATATTTGTCTTTTACGCTTATTAAATATTGTTCGTAACGAGACATATTAAAAATAAAAAGCAAAAAAAACAGACTTAGACTACACTCAACTACTATGTATTTACTTAGTTAATACCTAGTTTACCAAAATAGATATTTGGTCATTATCATACATTTACACCCATCTATTAACGCTATCATTATTTAGTAATTGATCCAAGAAGTGTTCTATACCAATTTAGTATCATGTTTTTCATAATAGCAAATACACAAAATTTATCCCAAATGCCTACCTCAGTGGTAAGAAAAAAAGAAAAAGAAAAAAACTGAATGGGTTACGGGACCCTCGATAGGAACGAAGTTCAGATATCATATGGTTGCATTCGATTAGTTTATAAAAAGTGATTGATATAAAATCTTTTTATCTTATGTATATTATTACATATTACTAAATCTCGCATTCTATCATAGAATTATTGATTTATGATGACTAAAATATGATACGTATATTTTTTACCCAACTTTGTTCAAATATCTGGAAAAACAGCATCAATGGTTGTACGATATTTTGTCGTAGATTGTGTAGGATCACTGTTCAGAGACAAATTAAACGTTTCGAAAAGAAAATTTTATTCTTTATTAAAAATAAAAATATATTATAACATTCTTTATTAAGTTCCGAACGTCTTTACTAAAACGGGTAAAAGAATTTTAATTAGGAATAAGAAATTTGTAAGCAGTAACACGTGAGAATGAATTTAAAGCGAGGAATAAGAAAAAAATCATTAACGTGTCAGGCTCTCATTCTCTCTGCCTACCCCTCTCTTTAATTTTGATTACTGATGCAATAAAAAACTATATTCATAAATTTATTTGTCAAAGAGTCACTGTTTCAAGCTTCTCAGTAGATAGTGAGAAAAGGAAGAGATATAAAGATCCAGTGCAAGTTATCAGCCAGTTATCAAGTACTTTTAAGGATAAAAATGTATTCTGTAGAAATAAAATATAAATATTTTATAAGTTTTTAGACTTCTTGCAATACAAATTACCATAAAAGTTGAAAAAAAGTTGTAAAAAAATGCAAAAAGTGTTGAGAGTGTAGCCGGATTTGAAGCCAGTACCACTCACTCCTGGGAACCGATCACGCTCGACCGCACCACATATAGTTTTGACATTTTCATGTCTTAGCTCTGGCACATAACCCAGGCACATAACCGAAAAAAGCGTTACCAAAAAAGAATCGTCCTTTCTCGACGATTTTAAATCCCTAATTAATCCCTTAATTTCCCTCCTAACAACCGTCATCAATAAACTTCTTATTTCCAACAATGATAATTAGTAACACTAATAATCATCACACAATAAAAATCCTTCTTTGGAACTCTAATGGTCTTATAAATCAAAAAAACAAATTACAAGCTTTCCTTATAAATACTCCCATAGATGTCCTATTAGTAAGCGAAGCTCACTTGACATCAAATTCCTTCTTTAAAATTCCCGGTTATACAACTTACCATTGCGACCATCCTAAAGGCACAGCTCACGCGGGCTCTGCACTACTAATTAAATCAAATATTAAACATTCAACTCTTCCTCCCTACCAAAGCAATATCATCCAAGCCACAAATATTACCTTAATTCTAAATAACATTCCTACTGCCATTTCCTCAGTTTACTATCCACCCCCAAAGAGAAACTGTCCTAACATGAAAACATCTGATTTTGAACAGTATTTTCTTTCTCTAGGTAACAATTATATTGCTGGTGGTGACTTTAATTCTAAACATCACGCTTGGGGAACTAGAATCGTCAACACCAGAGGGCGCTCATTATATAACTTTACAACAACAAAAAATCTAAAAATAATTGCCCCTCCAAATCCCACCTACTGGCCCACGCACATCAACAGACAACCTGACATTCTTGTATTTTTTATAACTACTCTTCCAAATCACATTTCTTACAATATAACCAATTCCTCAGACCTCTCTTCCGATCACACACCTATCTTATTAACTTTAAATGATCTCTCTTACACAACTAAATCTTACCCTACAATTACGCCTGGTAAAACCATATGGTCAAAATTCCACAGTATTGTTGAAAATCAAATTCTCCTTAACATTCCTTAAAAAACTCTCTCACACATTGACTCTGCGGTCCTATCTCTTACTTCCATTATTCAAAAAGCAGCACTCGACTCTTCCATTCCTATTAATTCTACTCAAAACTCTAGTTATCACCTACCCCAACATATTTCTCAACTAATAATTGAAAAAAGACGAGCCCGTTTAGATGGCAGAGGTCACACTTGCCCGGTGATAAAAGAAACTACAATATGCTTACATCATCCTTAAAACATATTCTGCGCAAACACAATTCAGAAAAATATCAACATTATATAAACTCACTCAACTTATCCAATAATTCATTATGGAAAGCTACTAAAAATATCCTTAAACAAAAAAATTAAGTCCCTCCTCTACGCCATCCTGACCACACCTTAGCCACATCTAATCTAGATAAGGCAAACTTATTTGCAACCGATCTAGAAATGAGATTCACTCCTCATCCTGACATGCCTGACAATGAACACGTTAGTGACGTACAATCCACTCTTTCCCAAATTCTCTCTATGTCATTACCAACCAAACATACCTCTCCATCCGAAATCCATTATATCATTAAGAATCTTCCCAATAACAAAGTCCCCGGCCATGACCTAATAACAAATCAAATCATTAAAAAATTACCTAAAAAAGCTTTTGTTCACCTCTCACACATTTTTAACTTTATCCTCCGTTTATCATACATCCCCTCTTCTTGGAAACATTCGGTCATTATTCTAATTCATAAGCTTGGGAAACCCTCGCATCTCCCTTCGTCTTATAGACCAATTAGCCTACTCCCCTCCTTCTCTAAAATCCTTGAAAAAATCATAATCAAAAGAATCTATCCAATTATAACCGAAAAGAATATTATTCCAGATACCCAATTTGGTTTTAGAAACAATCATTCAGCCCTTCACCAAGTACACAGAATTGTAGACAACATTGCCTCTTCTCTAGAAAAAAAATATTTTTGTTCAGCCGTATTCCTTGATATAGCACAGGCGTTTGATCGTGTATGGCACAAAGGCCTGCTCTACAAAATTCGTTTCCTTCCCACTCCTCTATATCTTACCTTAAAATGTTTCCTCTCACACCCTACTTTTCAAGTGCGATGCGATGATGAGCTCTCAAGTACTTTTCCTATAAAAGCTGGTGTTCCACAACGTAGCATTCTCGCTCCTACCCTTTATAATCTATTTACTGCCGACATACCTCATTCCAACATCACTAACTTAGCCACGTGACCTTCTCAATAACTTATTTTCACTTAGTTTGTAAATAAAACTAAACTATTTTAATAAATAATGCCCCCATAAGTTAAGAAAATTATAATTATTTATTGGACAGAGACTGTCCAATAAATAATGCGATTACAGTGTCCTCGTGGTTATGTCAAAACCTTTGGTGTCCGGTGTCCTGGGCCCGTCGGTTGACACGAGCAAATCGCCTAGTTAGTCACTCGGACTTCAGTAGTACATTATAGCAGAACCTCTTATAGTTACAGAAACTCTTAGAAGTTAAGTTTTATATTAAAAGTACTACCAAAACTACAAAAATGTTAAAACTTCACACTATTAATATATTTTTCTAATTTTCAACGTTTTCCCCCATCTAGAGATTCTATAACATTTAATCCACTAGTCCCAAATCATTATACATCAAGGCCATACGTGAATAATACTACCAAACATCGTAAGTACGCATTATATAGAGATGGATGAATTTTAAACGCATTTATCTTAGAATAATATACAATATTATATTTTGTAATCGATATTTTAAACATATAAGTCCATGTATCTTTGTATAATATTTTTTGTAAATAGATTTTAAAACCATATATCATTTTTAAAAAAAATATCATGCGAGGGAGTGCAGGATTATTCAAATTCGGATTTGTGGATATTTGTGTATCAGAGGATGCCTGATCAACATTGTAATACAATTTTGTTTCAGTTCGACACTTTTTCGCTAAGTTATAGAAAGTTAACGTTTGTGGGAGTGAAGAAGTCTACCTTTTCGACTTTTAACCTAACAAAGTCACTCAAAATTTCGGATACCTAAGGTTAATCGGGTGGTACTAAAACATGTAGTCGTATTTGCTGATACAAAAAAAACAGGCATCATAGAAACACTAGCTCGGCATCAATACAAAAAAAAACTTTGCAAATAAATTAGCAACTATAGGCTGCAAAAAATGTTTTTAGTTTATTGTATTGTCGAAATATAAAGTACTCAAATTAAAAATGTGCAATGATAATGAACATTTTTTTTTAAATTTTGCATCTTTAAAATACATCTCAAGCCGCTTTTTATCTTGTATTTGAAGTTTATTAAAAAAACAAAAAACAATGTTAAATTTTTAAAATAAAGTATTACCAGAACACTATACCTTCTTGTTGGTTAGATATTTTTGAAATACGACTTTTTTTCGAAAAAATTAAGATTAAAATTAAAAACATATCATGTATTTTCCGAAAGCGCCTGAAAAAAAATGCATATTTGTTTAATAATGTTTTAGATAAAAATGAAAATTTCCTATATTTTATTATCATTGATGTGCGTAAATGTTTTGGCTAATATAAGTATAAGTAAGTATTTTATTTTCATATTTAATATGAAGAATATTTCATATTTAATATTTTCATAAGACAAAATTAAAAAAAAATAATATTTTACTTTTCTTTACAGCAGAATATATAAATATGGTTGAACTTCTGAGTAAGTAATATTTTATAAACATACAGACTAACACTGTACACTTTAAAATTTTACTATATTTGTATAAAAATATTTTTTAAAAACATTTACTACAGACTTGCAAATTCAAAAAGCTTCTGGCATTAACGACGATTATAAAGGAAGTAAGATAATAATAATTAATATACTAATATGTAATTGTTTTGGTATGTTGGCCTATTTATCAAATTATTTGTACATCAATAATAATATAATATAGTAACAGTGTGCCAAACACTGTAAACGTTTTTAAGTTTTAAAAATAAAGTTACAAATGTTTGTACTCGTATTTACTAGGATTCCGCAAATGCATTTTTACAGTTTTAAAATATGAGTTGGCTTTTATAATACAGCATTTCCGAAAAGTATTGTCTTACAAGAATGATATCTATATTAGTTGAGAACATTATCTGTGTCTTTAAGTTAAGACTGTAAAAAAAATGCTCCCACCTAACTTCCTAATAAATGGGCGGGTGGTATCTTCTTAAAGTGGTAGTTTTATATTTTAGATTGGGTCTGTGCTCCATCACTCTTAGGCACGGGCCGTCCTGAAAGTCACTGTAATCTACAACGAGCATACTTTACCCCAGGAATGGACTAATTAGGGAACTGGGGGGAGTTGCCTAATGTATGGTGTAATTTTATTTTTTTGCTTTTTCTACACATTTTGAATTTATTCAGAACTTTTCTTTAGTTTAAACTTTTATTTGTTTGTTTTAGATGGATTGGAGCGTGTAATTGAAGGCGTTTTGCGTACAAATTGTAGTTCATCGAGTAATAATAATTACATTTTAATAAAAACAAATCTTGCTAATATAATAATTGTATACGAATAACATTAAAAAGGAATTTTTAACCTTTATACTGCCGTTGTGTTTTTCAAAAACGCAACGCAGTTTTTCAAACAGCAATGCGTCCCAACCATCACTATAATAATGGTATCCTGTTTCTTAGTTCTTTAATTGATTAGTACGTAAAAGTACGTCCACGGAAGTGAAAGGGTTAGAGAAAATGTTTAAATTACATACATTTTGTTTTATCTTGTTCTAATCCCCAATACGATTTAATACAACTATTGTATTTTCATTAGGTTTCAAATAGAGATAAGCTTTTTGTTCTGAATTACCTATACACATGTTCTTTTTTTTTAACTTTTCTTTAGTTTAGTTTATAATAGAATAGAAAATTAAATTCAATACCATTTTTGTATTGCTAATTTCAGGGTATTTGATTGAAATGTTCACTGTACCTGGTAATATGCTTAATAGAATTTTATGGAAATATTTCCACACAGTCGTATAATAATTATTAAGTATACAAGGTTTTCGCATTAATTTCAGAACTTGCAAAAACTTACAACTTTGATTATCTACAAGGTAATCAATTATCACTTTTATAAATTATAAATTTCAAATTAATAATGCATTGCACAGAATTGTATGTACAATATTAGTTTCTATTACAAAAAAAATATATACATACAAATTAAATTTTTATTTTATTTTCAAATTTAGATTCCATAATGACACAAACACATACTCTGCAACAGAAATTATTTCAGATTTTAGGTAAATATAAAATTTTCAATTTTTTAGAAAACAATTTTTAAAGACCAATAAGCACCATGAAATGTGAGTGAAGCTAAAAAAATATCAGGTTAATAGATTTTTTTGGGATTTCAAAACAAATGTTTAAATAATCTCAAAGTATACGGAATATAACTAGATTCATCAAGGAATAATAGCTTACAATATCTTGTGAAATACAAAGCACAAAATAAATCAACATAATAGATTGAATTATTATTAAATTCAGTGTGCAGAAAGTATTTATTTAAACGTTGCTAGAGAATAATCTAATGTTAATAATCTATTTTGCATTGAATAATTAGTAAAATAAATACCAATTATTCGTTTGAAAACGAATGTTATTGATAAATATAAAGACCTGGTTTGATAAACTGTAAAATGATGTTATATTTTTGTTACAGGTATTCCTATGATCTATCCTAACAAAAGTAAATACAAATTTAATCGTCCATTAAAAAAAAGTTATAGTTTGGTTGAGAGATATAACTTTCTTTATTGACATTAAATTTTTAATAAACGAAAATTTAGTTAAGGAATCATAATATATAACATCAGGGCATACAATTTAAAAAAAAAACATGAATACCAATATATTAACAATTTTTGTATTATTAATATGGTAATATATAATTGTATGCAGGTAATGACATTTTAAGAGTGACCACATATGGAAAAACAAGAACTTATCTTACTGGAAAAGCTTTACATAACTTACGTAACCAAATATTTGGTGAGTATTTAAGTATAGAGTTTGAGTGGTTTTGCTTTTCTAATAACATGTATTTCTTACAGGGTGTTTCATAATTGATAACACATTCAATATTTTTTTAACTAAATGATAAATTATGGCTTTTCTCTTTGGAGATTCATTAATTTTTGTTATTGTTCAATATTACACGATATTTAAATTATTTTCTAGAGCGGGGGGGGGGGAGGGGGTTCGGCTTTATGTTAGTACTAAATTATTTGGCATTGATTAGCTGGAACTGTCAAGGGTAAATATAATAAACCAGGATGATTAACTATAAACCATTTTTATATTATTGTTACAGATATTCCTTCACTTGATGATAAAAACCAAAGTAATTACAAAGTAATCTCTTTCTGTTGTATATCCGATTACCTTTTGAAATAATTATTACGTTTTTCGTTAGTATTGTATATAACTTTTAGCTTATTTAAACGATACATTTAGTTTTATAAATATTTATTTGTCCACACAGTAATTACAAAAAAATACAATTTTATTTTGGGAGACTTAATAACATTTTACGACTATTATATTTACATTACAATTTTGAACAGCGTGAATCAATTTTTAACAATATAATTAAGCTCACGAAGCGGTTTCTGATCTTTTTTCTAAAGTTTGAAGATCACTTAATGGCGGTAGCTAACATGGCCTTAAAGCCATCGTTTTTATGTCATACTAGACTTTGCGTTAATTAATTGGTCAAAATAATGGTATTTTTCGAGTGACTGTTGCGGATATCAATTACAACCAGTGTTGATTAACTATATAATTGTTTTATATTTTTGTTACAGCTGTTACTGTACATGACGATAAATACAAAATAATTTACAAAGCTACTCGTTAGTATTAAATAGAGTTTACGGCTTGTTAGAAAGATAAAATTTGCTTTATATATTCTTTTATTCACACAATAATTACAATTAAGTACACTTTTAGTTGGGGATACTTCTTTTAAGGGTTCCAGGATATGGAGTTGACTTTTAGCACTCTTACCAAACAGTGGTTCAGATAACATTTGAGCAAATTTAGAATACATTTTTAGCGTGTGTCGTCTTTTTACTAAAAATACAGCACGCTCTTCACGAATAATCGCTGTCCACACTTTTTTTAACCTAACCTTGGATGATCTTCGGACTAAAAATGAACTCCATTTTATTTTTGCACCCCTTCTAGACTTCACCAACGCTGCTGATTTTCTTTTTATCATATATTTTTACGTTTCTTCCCCCTCTTTTTGTACTCATTAAGACATTAAGTTAAAAAAATTAAGAAACCAGTACAGTGGGGTCGGGGCATAGTGGGTACGGGGGGTCACAGGCTTACAGGAATTTTTAAATCTGAAAGTGATAAAACCACTTTCGAAAAAACGCTTCGATGCAAATCGGTAGTTAGTATTTTCAAGCCAGTACAGTCTAATCCAAGCACAGTATAAACCAGCAAAGTTAGGTAATTAATAAATTGAGGTTCTGTATTTACAAATAAGCATCAAAGCGTTAATTTGAAAGTGATTTTATACAAGATGACTAGTACATAAGAGTACAGTGGAATCAAAGCAACGAGGGGACGGAGAAGTCACAGGTCTACAGAAATTAATATAAATAAAAGTGATAAAATTGAATGAAATCACTTTCAAAAAAATGCTTTGATGCTTATTTGTGAATACAGAACCTCAATTTAATACTTTCTAATTTTGCTGGTTTATACTGTGCTTGTTTTGAACTGTACTGGTTTGAAAATACTAACTACCGATTTGCATAGAAGCATTTTTTCGAAAGTGGTTTTGTCACTTTCAGATTTAAAAATTCCTGTAAACCTGTGACCTCCCCGTCGCTACTATGCCCTGACCCAACTTTGCTCCGTCCACACTAACTGAAAAAACGTAGTGGACTAAATAACACATATACAATTCTCAATATAATTAAAATTTATGTATTATATACTTCCATTAGAGCAATCTCACACGAACTATTTATACTTCACATATTATATTATTTCAAAGCTCTATTATACTTTTATTTTACTAGATTGACAATGTACAAAACAAAATGTCACTTAAAAAACTTTTTCATAGATCCTTAAAATGTAATAGGTGGGGTTGTGAAACGGATTTTCTCATTTAAATACATTGGAAAATCGCCCGTCTTACTGTCCTACCCTCTATATTAATTTCTTGTTACTTTCTAAAAAAAATTTGATTTTCATTTTTATTTACATTTAGTTACATTTAAATTAAAATTAAATCGTATACTGGTACCATGATGGAGAAAACAATAAATTTTACCTTCATATATTACTTATTAGTTAAATATTACTAATATTTATAGCCACTAGCTGTCGGCTGTTGCCTGTTATTTAACAATCAACTTTTATGGAGATTTTAAAAATTGTGTTTTTATAATAATAGTATAGGAGCAGTATCATGATGTTAATTGTTCATGAGATTTGATCTAGACATAAAATAGCTTATTATCATTCATGACTTTTAAATACTATTAAAAAATATATTTGAACATAATGAAATATTTTATACAAAATTAGAGCTACAAAATTATAAACTAAAAAATTAAAATTAGCACGAAGCAGATTATCTTAGATAGTTTAAACAATCAAGCGTGAATCTCTTTAAATGAATAACAGTATAACAATATGCAAAACATTTTTGTTCCTTTAAAAAAATTGTGTAATATAAAATACATTTTTGGGCGGTATACTGCATAAAAACCAACACTTAATCTGAATCCAAAAAACAACAGTCCTCTTCATGATTTTCAGGTTGTTGGACCTTATATACTCATAGTTGACCTTCGGTACGGTAATATAACGCGGGTGGTAAAATAACGAGATAACGACAGTGGTTTTGTCGTGTCAGAATCATGTAGCGCCGAATTTGTTTTCCGTTTATTATGTTATGAATATATATGAATTCTAACTACTGACAAATTTTCAACTTAAATGTACTCAAATTACGGCTAAAAAACTAAAAAAACTTGAACCTCCCACGGGGGGTGGGAAATGAGTTTAATTTAAATTTGAAACAACTGACGTGTGCGGGCATACCAAATAAATATTCCTTATAAATTTCATCTCGATCCGACTCTTTTTGTCGAAATTATAGCCAGTCTAACTTAAAAACTGGGACGGTTTTTTTTTGTGTTTTCAAATTTCGTTTTTGAAGAAGTAAACTTTTTCAACTTTTATCCCCCCTCCCCCAATGTACCAACTAGATAAAATTTGTGATTTATAGAGTTGCTATTCGAAGGAATTGGTCGAGTATTAAAAAAGTTACAGTGTATACAGATAAAAAAAAAACCCACATCAGAGTAAAACTAATACCTTCTCGCTTTGCATCGAAGCTAAAATATGCGAATATATTATTAAATATTATATTTTCAACCCAGTTATTTATATTCATGTATATTTATGCAGGTAGAGCAATTATTAAATTGACCAAACTGGGAAAGGCGAGAAGACTTCTAACTAAAAAAGCTATAAGAAATGTACTTACTCAAACATTAGGTGAATATAAATCGACATTATTAATAATATCTATTTCTTAAACGTGATTTAATATGGATAACACAACCAATTTTTCTTAACTACTAGAAAATTTGTGGTTTTCTTTTTGGAGATATTTTAATTTTTGGTATTTTTTAATATTACATAATATTTAAACGCAATTTTAGAGCGGAAGGGCGTTTTTGTATTTTTGTTATTACTATAATATTTGTTATTGCTCAATTTATTTTTAAATAACTACAAATTTGCAATTTTTATGTGTTGAAACAATTATTGTTTATTTTGAAACATTTAGATTTCATAATTTTTTTCTTAAGCTCTAGTAACAAGAATTAAATGTTGAAAACTTTGACTGGTTTAGAACCATTTTTGCATAATTACTAAGTATTTTTAATGTAGTTTCGAATTTAGGGTGAGAATTGGAATGCCGTAGATAAATGCATGCAGATGATAATAATACTATACTTCATCCTTCCTCTTTTTCTGTTAATAACTTTAAAAATAACTATCCACAAATGGTTATCGTCCAGTCCAAAGTATCTTAAAGGAAAATTATAGAATATTTACTCATAACTATTTAAACTATTTTGATCACTGTAGTCACTTTTCCCGTTTTTTCGACTTTTCTATGAATTAACTCCTCTTATCAATCATGATTATAGAAAACCAGGTTGAAATGAAAACATTTTCAGCTTTCTAAAAACATATTATAAAATTGCCCAAACTTTGAGCAACACGAAAAAAATCACACATTTTAGATTAAAAACTCAATTAAAATGACTTTCTGTGACACACACGAAAAAAAAATGAGAATTTTTTCTAAAAAGCCGAGATTTTTTTTCATACAAAAATGCCTATTTTTGACGTTTTGCGTGTAGCCAAAAAAAATTATAAAAAAAAGAAAAAACTAATACCTATATATTATAACATTTTAATAAAAAAAAAATCCAAACATTTTTAGAACATTCTTTATGCGTATCTATCAGAAATGCAGCGTAAGTTTCAAAAAGTTCGGTGAGGAGGAGGTGGTAGGTTCTTCAAATATTTGTTTATAATCAGCGTTTTAACCAATATACATATTATATATTATAATTGTATTAGTTGACTGTCTTACGGCCCTTCCCGGACAGCAAATCCATCTAGAAACCATCATGATTGATGGTGATGCATTGTATAAGTTGTTTTATTTACGTTTAGTAAAATTGTCTTGCACAATAAAGTGAAATAGTTACCAGTAAGCTGAATTTGGCAATTAATAACTACAATTTTCTTAATTTTTAGCTGGACTGATTTCGTATGACAAGAAGCATTCTGTTCATAAAATTTGTACGTTGATAGCAATGTGGATTAGTTCCAAAACGGCTTCATTAACGTTTGATAGTGTACATCGTGTAGAGGGAATTTATATTTGTGTAGTATATAATAAGGACTGGAATGTTGTAAAATACAGACCATTTAAGGGCATATATTGGCAAGTAAATGTCAATAAAATGGATACTAAAATAGAAGAATTAAATGTACAGGTACTCGACGATTCCAGTATTCCACGATTTGAGAAACAGTTAACAACCACAACATTTTAGACTAGTAATAAATGTATATTACTATAATATTATAAATAAATTTTACATGTTGTACTAACATCCAAATTGTTATTTGGATGTTATTTATTTATCCAAATTGTTATGGTTTTTCTAAAATAAACTATTTTTGCTCACAATTATAAACTCATATTTTGTTGCTTAAGAATTATTATTATTATTGTTGTGTACCTATAGACCTCCTAGAATCTCAATGATAAGAAATAAATATTTAAAAGAAAAATAAAATGCCAAAGTTCTTGTAAAATTTGTCGTTACAGAAACATCGAGTCTATTTTGCCAGCACTCAAGATGGGAAACCAGAAATCAACGTAATGTTATATGAATCAACTATCGGAACTACCGACTTAAATTAAGTTGATAATACCTAAAAGTTCTGGTATCCATAATTACTAACAAAATTACCATACTTAACTTTATCAAGCAGTTCACAAATATCTTAAGTCTTTAGGCAACTCTATCGTTTGGGCAGTTCATTTAGTTGAACCTATTATTTTATTAATAGTGGTTTATACTAAATAAATGAAGTCAAAAATTTTTTTTTTTGTGTAAATTATTTGAGCATAGAGCAACACTTTATTGAATTAATTTAATACAACTAAAAAATAATAGCGACGCGTCACAACCGATGCACATATATGCGATTATAAACGACCGTTATAGAGTTATTATTTAATTTATAAAGTATAATAATTTTAATTACAACAACTAACATATTAAGAAATCTGTACTGTGTTCTGTACTGTGTTGTTACTTGTTGAATGTAGATTATAGATAGTGGGAAAAAACTGATAACTAGATTTAAGACCACAGAGTTGTAATTTCTGTTAATGACAAGTATTATGTATTATCACCATAGCAGTGGTTTGTTTGGTGTTTGTACCACGGTCATTGTTAGTTTTTTGTTAAATGGCCATTCGGTAGCTGGTTATGTTGGTTTTTTAACCTACCTCTCGGTATGTTAGAATAGGTAAGTAATCTGTAAATAAGAACTGTTTGTCTATCATTATTTCAAAATCTTTTTTATGACCAATGCGATCATAAAGTGTATAAATTTTATGTGCACCGGTTTTGGAAACCCGATAAAATATGATAATTATTAAGAGGAATTGTATTATCTTTATAAAGTCATTGCTAATGAACAGATAAACGAAAATAAAAAATTCAATAGCTAACATATTTTTATTTTTTTCTGTCTGTAAATGTATGTAATATAAAAACATATGTTGCCATGAAAATCCAAAACTCCCCCTTATTGGCTTATAAGGATTAATGATAAAACTTTTCAAAATATTGAAAAATATCGTACAATGTGTAGGTACCTAAAAATTTTGGAAAAAAATATTGTCAAAAATATTAATATATTCCGAGAAAATGAATGTCTTACCCAAAGAGAATCACCCTGAATATATATTATATTACATACATTTCCAATAGGTAGCGATGAACAATCTATATATCACATATTTGTGGTATTGTTTTTTTATCCGTGAAACCTATAAAATCAAATAAACACGTTTATCAAAAATATGTATTGGAACTTAAGTGATTCATTCCTAATATTCCCCATGTCTAATATGTCCAACCGCCTCTACAATGGCTTTTGTTTTTTAAAATTCTATAACTGATTCGTAAATGTTTAAACTCTGCTTCGGAATTATGTAAATATGTTAGTCATAACGAAAAATGACAATGTTGCATATGTTAAAAGTATTCGCAAAAACAAAACTGTAAAACATATTTACATTGCATTGTTTTGGTCCACATAACCGATGCCATTCGACAAGTCGTAAGAAAACCATTGAAACAGTCGGTTTAACTATCGTTGCAATTGTTTAAGTAAGTATAACTAACTAAACTTCAAAAAAAGTTAAAACTGTACACTTTCAGTGTGTTTTTCTAATAGAATATTTTTTTTCCGCATCTAAATCTTCAATTCATTAAGTCCATAAGTAAGTAATACTATCGGACTTCAAAACTAAATATGCTTTCAAACAGAGACGTGTGAATTATAAATACATTTGTCTAAGATAGTATACAAAATTATATTTTATATTTGGTATATTATACTTACAAGTCCATGTTTCTTTATACAATGTTTATTTTTAAAATCAATTTTAAAATCAAATACTATTCTTTAAAAGCTAAATCCAGCGGGGTAGAGCAGAATTATTGAAATTTTGATTTAAGGATGTTTGTGTATAAGGGTATACCTGATCAATATTCTAATTAAATTTTGTGTCAATTCGACACTTTTTCGCTAAGTTAAAAAGTTAACGTTGAAAGTTCAAAAAACGGACAATTTTTTTTTAGATTTTTCTCGGTTGTGGGAGCGAAAAAGTCTACTATTTCTACTTTAAACCTAACAAAGTCGCTCAAAATTTCGGATATCTAAAGTTAATCAGGCCATACTAAAACATATTGTCGTGTTTGCTGATACAATACAAAAACAAGCATCATAGTCATACTAGCTCGGCATCGATACATAAAAAAAACACCTTTGCAAATAAACTAGCAACGTTAGGTTGCAAAATATGTTTTTTTTCTTGAATTGCCGAAATATAGACGAACATAATGTACTTAAATTTGAAATGCGCAATTATGATGAAATCTTTTAATTTTTGATAAAATAAAAACACCCCTCAAGTTCAAACTATGTTTTATCTCTTATTTTATGTATATTAACATTTTTGAAAAATTAATGGTATTATAACAACACCTTACCTTTTAGTTAGTTTTTGAATTTTTGAAATACCCATTTTTTCAAAAAAATTAAGATTAAAATTAAAAACATACAATACAATTTCTAAGGACTTTTTGTCAAAAACATTATTCTTTTACAATTAAATCATGAAAATGTTTACTAAAAAATCCGCATGGATGGATAAAAAAAATATGGCAGGCCTACTAAATGAAATATAAACTAGATAAATAACAAAAACTATTTGTCGGTCTATATAAGCTATCTTGTGTATATATACATCATTGTATAACCAAAACCTCATTATCTCGGCCACTCCGGGAGAGCTTAAACTTTATAAAAATTGCATTTATTTTTTTTAATTTTTCTAGCTAAAAATGAAAATTTCTTGTATTTTATTATCATTTATCTGCGTAAATGTTGTGACAAGTAAAAGTATAAGTAAGTATTTAATTTTTATACTTACCCACACATGGAAGGTAAAATTCAAAAAAAATTATATTTAACTTTTCTTTACAGCAGAATATATAAATATGGTTGAACTTACAAGTAAGTAATATTTTAAAATCACACAGACTAACTCAGTACATTTTTGTATAAAACTATTTTTTAAAAACTTTTACCGCAGACTTGCAAATTCAGAGAGCTTCTGAATATAACGACGATTATATAGGAAGTAAGATAATAATAATTAATATAGTAATATGTAATTGTTTTGGTATGTTGGCGTACTTATCAAATTATTTGTACATAAAAAAAAATGGTTTAAAATAATTTTTTAGATAAGTGCACGAGTTATAATATAGTAACAGTGTGCCAAACACTGTAAACGTTTTTAAGTTATTAAAATAAAGTAACAAATGTTTATCCTCGTATTTACTAGGATTCCGCAAATTCATTTTTACGGTTTTAAAATATGAGTTGGCTTTTAAAATACAGCAATACCGAAAATTGTCTCACAAGAATGATATCTATATTAGTTGAGAACATTATCTGTGTCTTTAAATTAAGAATATAAAACAAATTGCCAACACCTAACTTCCTAATAAATGGGTGGAGTGATATCCTGTAATAGTGGTTGTTTTATATTATTGATTGGGTCTGTGTTCCATCGCTCTTAGGCACGGGCCGTCATTGAAATTTACTGTAATTTACTATGAGCAAACTTTACCACAGAAATGAACAAATTTTGGAACTGAGGGAGTTGCCTTATGTATAGTGTAATATTTTTTTATGCTTTTCATATACATTTTGAGTTTATTCTGAACTTTTATTTGTTCTAGATGGATTGGAGCTTGTAATTAAATACATTTTACAAACAAACTGCTATGACTCGAGTAACAATAATTATGTATTAATAAAAAACAATTTGGTTATGGATTAATTGTATACAAAAAACATCAAAACTATATCTTTAACCCTAATACTGCCATTGTGTTTTTCAAACTGTAACACGTCCCAACCGTTACTATAATGGTAACCTGTTTCGTACTTCTTTAATTGATTAGTACGTAAAAGTACGTCCACGACAGTGAAAGGGTTAAAGAAAATGTTTAAATTACATACATTTTGTTTTATCTTGTTCTAATCCCCAATACGATTTAATACAGCTATTGTATTTTCATTAGGTTTCAAATATAGCTAAGCATTTTGTTCTGAATTACTTATATACATATTATTTTTTCTTAACGTTTCTTTAGTTGAGTTTATGATAGAATAGAAAATTTAATTCAATCCCTATTTTGTATTGCTAATTTCAGAGTCAATTAATGAAATGTTCACTGTACCAGGTAATAATTTAAATCAAATTTTATGGAAATTATTCCACACAATCGTTTGATAATCATTAAGTATACATTGTTTTCGATTTAATTTCAGAACTTGCAGTAACTTGCAACTTTGATCATTTACAAGGTAATAAATTACCACTTTTATAAACTTTTAAATGTCATATTTGTAATGCTTCGCACAAAATTATGTGCACAACATTGGTATATACAAACTAAAATAATAATGGAAAAAATATATATATACAAAAAGTACACATTGTTAAAATAGCTTTACTTACAATTAGATATGAAACCCAGCATCAAGGATAAATTTGAGGATGGATTAGATGATAGGAACAGAGCGAGAGTTAAGAATGTTATAGGAGTTAGGGACAAGAATACCCAAAGAGGATAGAAGGTTAAAAAGATATCTCTATGGAAAGAGAGAGTGGGACAATGAAAAAGGAGATGAGAAAAATCACAAATGGCTGGTAAATCATACAAGGTGCAATAAGGAGAGGAGTTCAAAGTGACGAGAAAAGAGAAAGCGGGAAGAAGGTTGTGTCCAAATCTTAAACAAGAAAAGGAAGAAATATCTTTACGTGTGAGATTGAGGCCATGAAACCAAAGCCTGCGAGGGATAATAGGGCAGATTGAGCGATTCCAAGAGGAAAAGTTAGGAGGTAGGGAGGACCATTTGTCCTGCCAAGCTTGAAATATAGTTTAATTTAAACCTGGAAGGAAGTCAGAAAAAGGAGTGTTTAGTTCTTGAGGCAAAATGAAGGAAGCGGTGGAAGTTGCTAGGGAATCGGCAGTCTCATTACCAATTTACCCACAGTGCCCTGGAACCCAAAGGAATTGAACGATTTTGCCAGAGGACGAGATGCGGAACAGAAGAGATCTTATATTAAGAATAAAGGGAGACAATGTAGAGCTGAAGGGATTACATACAATTTAAATGTTTATTTTATTTTCAAATGTAGGTTCCATATTAATACAAACACATATTCTGCAACAGAAATTATTTCAGACATTAGGTAAATATAAAATTTTTAATTTTTTAGAAAACAATTTTTAAAGACCAATAAGCACCATGAAATGTGAGTGAAGCAAAAAAATATCAGGTTATTAGATTTTTTTGGGATTTCAAAACAAATGTTTAAATAATCTCAAAGTATACGGAATATAACTAGATTCATCAAGGAATAATAGCTTACAATATCTTGTGAAATACAAAGCACAAAATAAATAAACATAAAAGATTGAATTATTATTAAATTCAGTGTGCAGGAAGTATTTATTTAAACGTTGCTAGAGAATAACTTAATGTTAATAATCTATATTTCACTGAAAAATTGGTAAAATATTTACCAAATTTTCGTTTTAAAATTAATGTTATGGATAAATATAACGACCGGTCTTGATAAACTGTGTAATTATTTTATATTTTTGTAACAGGTATTCCAATAATCTTGCCAAATGAAAGTAAATACAAATTTAATCGTTCATTAAAAAAAATGTATGATTTAAATAAACGATAAAATTTTCTTTATTGTTTTTATTTACATTAAATTTTTAATAAACTAAAATTTAGTTAAGGAATCATAATATATAACATCAGGGCGTACAATTTAAAAATAAAAACATAAATACGAATATATTAATATTTTTTGTATTTCACATACGGTAATATATGAATTTATGCAGATAATGAAATTTTAAGAATAACCACACTTGGAAAAACAAGAACTTATCTTACTGGAAAAGCTTTAGATAATTTACGAAACCAAATATCTGGTTAGTATTTAAGTATAGAGTTTGAGTGGTATTGTTTTTCTAATAACATGTATTTCTTACAGGGTGTTTCATAATTGATAACACATTCAATATTTTTTTAACTAAATGATAAATTATGGCTTTTCTCTTTGGAGACTCATTAATTTTTTGTTATTTTTTAATATTACAAGATATTTAAATTATTTTCTAGAGCAGGGCGGGGTTTTTCGGCTTTATGTTAATTCTAAAATATTTGGCATTGATTAGCTGGAACTGTCATGGGTAAATAAAATAAACCAGGTTGATTAACTATAAACCATTTTTATATTATTGTTACAGATATTCCTTCACTTGATGATAAAAACCAATGTAATTACAAAGTAATCTCTTTCTGTTATTCATCCGATTGCCTTTTAAAATAATTATTACGTTTTTCGTTAGTATTGAATATAACTTTTAGGTCATTTAAACGATACATTTAGTTTTATAAATATTTATTTGTTCACACAGTAATTACAATAAAATACAATTTTTTTTTGGGAGACTTAATAATATATTACGAGTATTATATTTACATTACAATTTTAAACAGCGTGAATCAATTTTTAACAATACAATTAAGCTCTCGAAGCGGTTTTTGATCTTTTTACATTAATAATTTTTTTTAGTATTACCTTATCTGTGGATTATTGTCTTTTACATACTAAACTTAATGTTTTTCTTGACTGGACTTACCTTCTTGGTCTGTCATTTTATGTTAAAAATTTCATATTGTGACATTTTCCAACAAACTGCAATTTTCCTGTACGATTACTTTCTTTGTTTTATTTTAAAGTTTGAAGATCACTTAACTGCGGTAGCTAACATGGCCTTCAAAGCCATCGTTTTTATGTTATACTAGACTTTGCGTTAATTAATTGGTCAAAATAATGGTATTTTTCGAATGACTCTTGCGGATAACAATTACAACCAGTTTTGATTAACTATATAATTGTTTTATATTTTTGTTACAGCCGTTACTAAACATGATGATAAATACAAAATAAGTTACAAAGCTACGCGTTAGTATTAAATAGAGCTTACGGCTATATATTAATAAATATTATATTTTTAACCCAGTTATTCATATTTATGTATATTTATGCAGGTAGAGCAATTATTAAATTGACCGAACTTGGAAAGGCGAGAAGACTTCTTACTGGAAAAGCTATAATAAATGTACTAACTCAAAAATTAGGTATTTCTTTTTTACTAAATTCTACAGCGGATTAATTATTATAGATAACACATACATTTTTCTAACTGCATGAAAACGTGTGGTTATTATTTTTGAAGATGTTTTAATTTTTGTTATTTTTCAATGTTATGCATAATTCAATAGACATTTTTCAGCCGAGTCCGCAACCACGAAAGAGCATTTACATGTCTTGTTGAAGTACTGAGATAAATTTAGAGTAGTGGTGGAATTATAAATAATGATAAAGTATATTAAGAAGCAGTAACAAGCTAGTATCTAAGGTGGCTAGTATATAAAAACATCAAGTTTCTGGCTAATATTGTAGTTTTTAATATCTGGCTTAAAATAATTCATAGAGAATTTGAGCCCTTAAACTATTTTGAATTTATCATTTAGTTCTAATTTGAACGTTGAACGTAAAACATATCTCTTATCAGATAACAGCGTAATTCCCACCCTTATCTCCTGCCCCCTATCGTCCAACCCCTATCTCCTACCCCGTACCTTCCAACTCTTTTCTCCTACTGCCTATCTCCCACCGAGATATGCTTATAACGTTAATCTTTTTTCGTTATAATTTTTTCGGTTATGCACCACAGCTAATTGCCATCCCCAACCCTAACCCCATTCCCAACTTCACCCCATTTCTTTTTCGTTATCATTTTTTCGGTTATGTACCAGAGCAAAGACATGTAAATGTCAAAAATATTTTTAGAGCGGAGGGGCTTTATCGGCTTTATGTTATAACTATCATGTTTGACATTGACCAATTCATTTTTAACTTTTCTATAAATTTTCATTTTTTTTTTCTATCATGTTTATGGAGATCTAGTTTGTAATGTACATATTTTCAGCTTTGTAAATAAATATTAGAATAATTCTTAAATTTTGGGCAACACAAATAAAAACTACTTTTTAGTTTAAAAACTCAATTTTAATGACTTTCTGTGATTCGAAAAAAATCCTACATTTTTCTAACGAGCCGAGTTTGTTTTTCATAAGAACATTTTTTTGTTTGGTAAAGATACAAAAGAAATGATGAAATACAAGAGTCATGCTAATAAAATAAAAAAATCCTTAAATATTATAATAAAAAATTTATCCAAAAAATGTATGATGAATTTGGCAATTTTTAACAACTATTTCCTTAATTTTTAGCTGAGCAGATTTCATATGACAAGAAGTATTCAGTTCATAGAATTTGTACTTTGATAGCAATGTGGATTAGTTTAAAAACGGCTTCATTACCGTTTGATATTGTAGATCATGAAGAGGATATTGATATTTGTGAAGTATATAATAAGGACTGGAATGCTGTAAAATACAGATCATTTGAGGGCATATATTGGCAAGTAAATGTCAATAATATAGATACTAGAATAAAACAATTAAATGTACAGCTACTCGACGATTCCTGTATCCCACGATTTGAGGAACCGTTAACAACCACAGCACTTTAGACTAGTAATAAATGTATGTTTCTAAAATATTATAACCCATTTTTATATGTTGTACTAACATCCAAATTGTCATTTAATGTTATGGTTTTTCGAAAATAAACTGTGTTTGCTCACAATTATAAACTCATATTTTGTTGCTTTAGAGTTATTATTTTTATTGTTGCGTACCTATGATTTTTTTTTACTGGGAGTAATTTTTGAAGTCTGTATTGGTAACCTACGAGAAGGAAGACGGTAGGCTCTCGCCAGACTATTTATTGCCCGAAGAGAGATAATTTATAATTAAAACAAATTAAAAATTTTCAATTATCTTAATCATTATATAATATGTATTTGAGGCAATACTTTGGATGTTACTAAATTATTCAGTTTTTTTGGTGTTTGCTATTAACTGAATATGGTAATTTTTACAAAAAAAATTTCGTAGTTAACTGCTGTTTTGTTATGATAAAAGTTTTCATCCATTCTATACATACTCTAACAAAACATTTACATATTATACCGGGGAACCGTTTGATGTATAACACTCTCTCTCATACGTTTAACGTCCGTTATTCCCACCGATCGGTGCTTAGACGGTTTAGATTTGACATTTTTGGGTTTATAGCTGGCTGCCGACCTAACGCTAACAAACAAGTTGGCCCCAGAGAGGGATAGATATCTGCGTATTCATAAAAAATAGTTTCTACAGATTCGCGTTCCTCGCTGTTTATGTGGTCTATGCGCAGTGACTGTTTTAACAATTCTATACGGTTACGTTGACTGACTGAATGTCGTGTTGTGTGAATATTTTTTGCACTCGTTTCATGGATGACTTCATATGATAAGTTCTCCAGATGTACTTTCTTTAACTTGACCGGTTCTTCATCCGAGTTTGCTACACATACTAAGGTGCGTGAGTGCGTCCATTTTGTACTGAGTTCAATACGTTTCCGCAGTAAACGTCTTCGGAGAGCTGTTGGGCATGTATCAACACATCTTGGTTGTTTCCAATTATGTTCGTGGTACACACCGGTATGACCACTTCGCTTTGACTATGAATTCGCTGTTCATTGCGTTCGATGTGAGTATACCCTCGGCGAGATTTATTACGGCATTAGTTTCCTTAAGAAAAGGTCGCCCTATAATCCCATCTTGTGGTAATGGGAAGGTTGTAGGTACGACTTGAAATATTACTTTCTGAACAGAATTATCTATGTGTACTTCAAGCTGAACGGAGCCTAGCGTTTTTACCAGGTTGTTGTTTAAACCTTGTAGCACAAACGTGTCGTTGACATTTGCTGTTACGTTGTCTGATAAATAATTAAGTTGAGTTCAGCTCCGGTGTCTATTAATAGATTGGCGTTGTTTTTGTGACACTGAGGAATGCTGAAATAGACATAATTGTTAACTAATTTCACTCTTATTGATCGGATTGGCTTGTGGTTGCCGTGAGCTTTAAGTCGCGCACCGTCCTTTCGCTCTTAACGGTCGGTCGCTCCTCGTTTCCCGAATAAGTTGCGCTCTGCCCATCTCGCTTTTTCTTATTTCTACAATCACTAATGTCATGTCCAGGTTTTTTACAATAGCGGCAGTATAGCTTGTTTTTTCGGTCACTCCCTCCCATGTCCGTTGCTTCACTCTTAACGGTAGATTACGAGGTAGGACACGCAGTTGCCCTTTTTGTGGTATTGTATTTTTTTGACCGACAGCCCTTGGTACTGTGTGTATTTGTTCAACAATGACTGCAGTATTTTGAGTTTCCACTGCCGTTAGGTTTTGGATTTTTGAAGAATCGCTGTGTTTCTCTATCTGATTGATATATTATGCGTTATTCCTCTAAACTTTCTTTTATTGCCGCTTCCAATGGAGTCGGTCTTTGAGCTTTTATAATTGTTTTTATCGGCTGCCGTAGCCCCTCGATAAAAGTGGCTAACGTCTGGCTTTTGATATGGTCGCATAAAATTTTGGCTTCGGCGACCGACTTTCTCATTGCGCTCGCGTTGCACAGTTCATGAAATAGCGTTTGTACTCTCGTTGAGCAAGTACTTATGGCTTCATTTTCTGTAGATGTGTTGCTGTGCGTTGCGCGCAATATTCATCCACCAATAATTTTTTAATGAGTCCCAATTATTTCTATTTCCCTGTACCGCGTTACAGCGAAAGCGTTTCCGCGCAATTTTGTTTCTATTGCTTTTTATAGAATGGGTTTTGCTTCGTCTGCTACACTAATTAGTGCGATTTTGCAGGCATTAATAAAAGGGTATTTATCGGACCGTATTGTGCCGTCAAAAATTTGTATAAGACGTAACGCCTAGGCGATTGTGAGTGTAGATGCCATATTATTTGTGTTTACTACGGGCACGGTGCGAGCGGTGTTATTGTCGGCGCCCGTAGTATTTGCCGTGTGAATACTATCCGGTACGTTCGTTGCCGCGGATAAGGTGGCGGTGGTGACAGTTACAGTAGCGGGGGATCCAACGGTGGCAGCGGCGACGGTCGTACCGGTGTCCTCCTTGGGCGCTCGCGCTGCGCTACGTGTGACGCGTTCTTTTTCTGATTTCGCGTCGGCCACACGAGTACTTATGCCTTCGCCGGTGTTTTGCGTCGGCCCAATTGATCTGCGTAATTCGCGCACTGAACTATCGACTAACTGAAATAACGAGTTGGGATTTCCGGCGGCGATTGACCTAGTAACAGGCCTGTGGGAATTTTGTATTTGATTCCCCCCGTCCCTACTGTCGTCGCTGTCGAACGCAATATTGTTCAGAATATTGATATATTCCGAGAAAATGAGTGTCTTACCCAAATAGAATCACCCTGTACAAATAATATATTACATATATGAACAATATATATATATCACATATAAGTAGTATGGTTTTTTATCCGAGAAGCCTATAAAATCAAAAAAATACGTTTATTAGAAATATGTATTGAAAATAAAGTGATTGACACATATTTACATTGGATTTTTTCATTCGACAAAAACAGATAATGTTCGACAAGTTGTAAAAAACCTCTAAAACGGCCGGTTTAACTATCATTGCAATTGTTATAGTAAGTAATACTACCAAAATTTTAAAACTTCCCACTTTTAATATATTTTTCTAATTTTCAACGTTTTCCCGCATTTAGAGCTTCTACAACATTTAATCCACTAGTCCCAATTCATTATACATCAAGGCCATAAGTAAGTAATACTATTACTAAAGTACGCATTATATAGAGATGGATGAATTTTAAACGCACTTATCTTAGAATAATGTACAATATTGTAGTATAGCATATTTCATAATAGTTTGGAATGCTCTATGTAGCGTTATATTGGTATTAAATGCGATTGTAAGTGTCATCGTGGTTATGACGAAACCTTTGGTGTCGGGTGTTCTAGGCCCATCGGTTGACACAAGCAAATCGCCTAGTTAGTCAGTCGGAATTCAGTAGTACTTATAGCAGAACCTCTAATAAAAATCTACAGTATATTTTAGTTCATAAAACATATTGGTTATTCTTTCTTTTTCAAAAACATCTTTTTTTGTCCGGCCTATCCATTTACATCATCTAGTGGCAGCGGTAACCCATTAGTTACATTATAACAGTGGGCGAACTTACGGATTCCGGCCTTAAAAAAGGGGTGTCTGTTTGCCATTCAGATAACCAATTTCTTTTTACATAATATAATAGTGCGAAAAGTGGGCATCCGCCGTTTAGTTTTGTGTCGACGTGTAATTGTCACCGCCGCTGTTCGATCGTCCCCTCCGTAATTTGATCGTTCAGCGCTACCGCGGCCCCCGCTGACGGAACGCCCTTCCATAGTTTTGCGCCGCCGAATATCAAACCGGTACGTTTCGTTTTGCGCCGCTGAATATCAAACCGGTACGTTTAGGAAGTGCCGCCGTAACCCAGTTTGGCTCCGCCGTAGTAACCTACTTCTGAGCCACCGCCGTCTCGTTTATTAGTAATATTCCAAATATCAGAGCATCTTTACTTTACACACCAAATCATCTTTAATTTAAACGGCAGTTCAATCAACAAGCAGCGTCTTGATTTCAATTGACAGAGAGTTTCCCATTTCGACAAAAAATGTTTTTCTTTTAGCGGAATAGAAAGCTTAATTTTTAGTACTAACTTGAATAAGATATTTATCAATTATTATTATACACATTAAAATATTTAAGTTTTCATCAACACGTCTCTTAATCGTTGTATACCGTTGTATAGTGGTATTATATAGTAGTTGATATATATATACAAGGTGGCCCACGAAGATTTGACAAATGAAATGACTTTTGTTCAAGTGAATATTTTTAAGTTTTTTTTAAAAAATAATTTATACTCATTTACGCAATAAGCACCACGGTTTTTATTGCACTTGGCTGTTTTATTTTTTGAATAATTTTTTTTTTTTTGGTTACGTTTTTGTTTTATTTTCAAGATAGCCATTTTATTTAAAATAGTTTTTAAAAAAGAATTAGTAAACAAAAATTATATTTTTATCCATACATTAAAAAGATATAATCATTTGAAATTGGTGAAAATTTAAAAATTTTCCTCCGCGTTTTTTGTTTTTTCAGGGAGTTTATAGACTTTGAACACAGAATAGATAACATTTTTTAATAATAGTCGGTTTCAGACATTGGGTCTGAAGATTTGTCATTTACGCTTATTAAATATTGTTCGTAGTGAGACATTAAAAAATAAATAGCAAAAAAAAACAGACTTAGACAATAAGTCAACACTCAACTACATGAATACTTGATACTAATGATACTTGATACTATGAACTAAATGAATATTTGGTCATTATCATACATTTTTACCCACCTAATAACGCTATCATCATTATGTAACTGATCCAAAAAGTGTTCTATACCAATTTAGTATCTTGTTTTTCATAATAGCAAATACACAAATTTATTCTAAATGCCTACCTCAGTGGAAAAAAAAAAAAGAAAAATAAATAAAAAATACATAACTATCAAGTACTTGTTTTTAGTTGTTTTATATAACATGCTAAC